AGAGAAGGATCCAGTCTTCGTACGTGTGGGCAAGACATAAGTCATCGCTTCCCACCACATCCGTTGACATTCAAAAGGCACCTGTCTGGCTCCGGGCATAGTTGTACTCCAGCACTTTTCAGCCTAACAGCTTACAGCATACACTGTTCGTTAGTGCCCACAGCACTCCGATCCCCTCACAGGATTTCTGGGCTTTCTCCGGTTCTCTTCGGATACCCTGTTGTTTCTAACCTGCGTCAGTGGCAGTTTTGTTGTTTTAGACTTTTCCTACATTCACAATGCATTCATGTCCTAGCGAATCTTTGTACCGAACCTGGGCGATCCTCCGCCAATGTAAACCTGACTTCCGACCCCTTCCGGCCTACAGTTGTACTCCGCCCCTAGCCAGGGGCCCTGTCTGGTTGGATCTTCCACCACAATACTGGTTGATCAATATCTCCAGCATCCAGTGGCCCTCAATAACCGATTCCCTCATAATCCACATTGACTGCGGCGGGCACTCCTAATTCCTTGGTCATACAAAAAAACTGTAGGTGGCAAAAGTCTTCCTCTCGATCAGTGTCAGATATTTTGCTCCTGTGCCCAAATCCATCCCTCTGGATCACCACACAAAACTCTTCCTTCTCTGGCAAATTCTATAACCAGCCCAATTGGCCTGTGACAAGATGTACTGCACTTGGATCGTAAGGCTTCCCAGCAAAACTCTCAAACTGTTCAATGTCTCAGACTCACCATCCCCATTCCTTCCTAAAGTCTGCCGCTGGCTCCAATCTTCGATGGTTCACCAAACTGTTGGCTCGGGTTGGGGTTGTGGGAGATGTTTCATACATGCACAAGAGTCAGTCAGTCGGGAAGGAGCACCTCGCGGCTTAGGTAGATGGTAGAAAACAGGATCGTTAGAACACGACCCCAGTCTGGATAAGATTTGACTCTTTGGAGGTGGGAGCTTGGTTGTGTGTAGGGATGGTGGATTGGTTGTGACGTTAGGTTTCTGCTCTGGAGGTAGAATCACATTATTTATCAACGAGGTCTTGAAATCCTCGTGATGGCAGCCGAAACATTGGTCAGTATCATTGACGGCTGCTGGTGATATGCACAGTACTTGGCTGGGTTGTGGGAGGGTGGAAGTGGATTTGGTAATGGGCCTCTGGCTCCAGGGGTTTAATGCCCCTTTCTGATTAAGACCCCAAGAGCCTAGACAAAAGGCATGTCAGTGGGGTAAAGGTTCTATTGGCCTCTGGCTGGTATTTAGTGGTTGGGGTATTACTTCCCGGATGAACCGGAGAAGGGTGTGGCCGCCATGGCATTGTGAAGGGGAGGCGGCAATGGTAGACCATGGCTGACCATCCGAAAGCTTTTGCGGGTTGCAAGCCGCCCTCGGCTGCTTATTGAGTTACGGTTAAATGTTCTCCGGTGCGTTTGCTCCTGTCCTGGTTCGATCAGACCCGCTTCAATCGCACTCGATTTGGTACCCCCATCTCAATGTAGTCCGAAAGGTGGGGGAAGGGGAGTACAATCATCTTCATGCATTCAATTTTGCGTTGGAGGTTGCGCACAATCATTCTGATTTGGTCTTAATCAGTGGGCCTCTAAAGTCATCATGACTGCCCTTCGCCCTCCACCGAGTAGAAATCTGAGAAGGTCTCTTTGGGGCTCCTGCCTTCGTTGTTTTGAGAATCACGAGTTGTAATCTCGACTGGTATTGGACGAGTACTGTGCGACAAAGGCCTCGGGCCATTTTCAATCCAACTTCTTTTCACCTCATGCTTCCAACTTTGCATACTAGATAGTGCCACACCCGACAGGGTTCGGCCGAACACGGCGAATAGCTTTGTGGTCCGGGTTAGGCCCATTGGCCGTAATCTGAGAATATACCGGAGGTGGACCATGGGATCCCCCGGATGTCGAAACGATCAATCTGCGGGCATCTGAAAAGGCAACGTTACGGCCACATCGTATATCCGGTCCTCTGATATCCGGAATGCCTTTTACTCCTTGTATTCATTTCTTGAAAAAAGCTTCTCGAGCTTCGCTCAGTTCAGAGCTGTGTGGTCTATTTCGAACTCGAAGGGAGAGTCCCGGGTGGTTGGGTGTATGAGAGTGAGTGTAGTGCGTGGGGGATTTCTGGAGCCACGACTCACACTGTTGATGGTGAATGGGGGGCGGAGCGGCCCGTTGGGAAGGTCCGTGCCCCTTGGATGTCTAGACATTGGTAAGGTGTTTCTGGTGTTTTGGCAGGGTATTTTGGACAGTAGGGCCTGCTCAAGTCACGGGATCCCCTGGTTGAGCGGAGGAACTGGATGTGAGGCAGAATGCTACGTTTTCTGTTGCATTGTCTAGTTGATTAGTTCGGCCTGCGAGCCATGACTGTGGCTTTTGCTTGTCTAGAGAACTCTTGCTTGGCGGAGAACGCCTCCGCATTTGTCTCAATGCTCTCTTGGGCCGGCGCATCAATTTCTTCCATCCGACAGTAATTCTGGCTGATCTTGCGAACCCTGCGAGTGGTGTATCACGGTAGTCACAATCATAACAAATGAGAACCAGCATCTGCGACTTGTTCACATGCTAGGGTAGACAACTGTCTACCGTGTATATCTCCTAGCTTAGAAGAGAGAGGTGTCATGACGTGGTGCTCTGAGTGGCTCCTTCTTCCTGACAATTGGGGGTAGAGAATGAAACACCTGGCTGTGCCGTCAACAAGATCCTCGGATCGATTGAGCCGACGACCCTTGTCCAATAGTGCTTGGGGAATATCTACGGGGTCGGAATGCTAATTGGCTAGATATAAAACACATAACACTGGTGAACCCCCACCACTACCATAAAGCAATAAAGGAAATAAATGTAAACAGATAAACGGATAGCATACCACTAAAATAAATGCATGACACACAGCCGGGCAATAACAACACACGGCGATAAAGCTGAATTACACCTGTCCCTCAATATCACTGATAGCCAATTACGCCCTGAAATCACTGTCCCCAAAACTGAATCTCTGAAACCTCGCAGATAACGAATTCTCAAGACACTGACTGATGCCCGCGAAGCCTGGAATGCCCAAACTCATGAAAACGTGATACAGTCAATCGCTTGTAGAGACACACTTTGACAGCACATAAACAGAATAATTGAGTAGCCAAACACCCCTATGTTGGAGTAGGCGGTTTTCCCGTTCCGTAGTTGTTGTCGAGGCAGGTGTTTACTACGCAACGGCAGCGAGTTTTCAAACAAACCTATACGGGTAAGCAACCTAGTCCTAGTTTGGAATTGGGTCACGATGGATCCAGATATGCAAATAGGTCCGAATGGCTAAAGGGTACCGTCGGTAAAACCGGGTTTGTGTTCCCACACTGGCAGCAGCCCACAACCGTCAGCCTTATGGTCATGCTTGTGACAAAGACAAGCCCTGCTGCAAGACCGTCAGGACTAGCAGATGACGCAAACACGGTGTCCTATGCGCAACCAAAGCATAATGTCAGATGCAAAGAGACACATCAAGGTGTAGTAAAACAGAGATACATGAGGTCGAGTCAAGGTTCTTCTAACTCCCAGCGAGTTGCCAGAAACTGTAGACGTCCGCCGAATGCCCCTGGAGGTGAGTCCCTTCGTGTCATATTGGGTTCACTAC